TGGCAAGATTGAGTAAAATGATCATTCCAACGTAATTCCAAGCAACCTTAACACACTGTTTTTGCAATGGTCCATTTCTTTCCATTTTCTCCTGGACTTTTGTTAGCTAAAGCTTATAGAGGTATTAAGCTTCTCAAGGTTTCTATTAGGTTCCTCAGAATAAAAATCAGAAGCAGGGAAGAATGAAACAAATAATAACATCAAATTAAAATTTAAACCCAAGTTTTACAATTACAGCAGCAATTAAAGTGCTTTAAAAATTCAATCAAAATGAAAGGAAATTTAAGTATTTTATATCAGTTATGCCTAATTTTTTTTTTTTTTTTTTTTTAACAAATTTTTAAAAACTGTTCTATTGTCACTATTTAGTGACTTTGTTGCTTGTGTTATGTAAGAAGTGGTTCCTACTGTGCAGTCAGGAGCCTGCTGTGGGATCACAAGATGAGTGGTCATGCAACATGTAAAAAAAAGAAAACAAAAAAATAGAAATACTTTAATAGGTTTTATTTGACATGCAACCACTTGTTTGTATGTCTGTGCAATATATACACTGATGAGCTACAACAGTGCACCTGCGTAATGTTGTGTAGGTCCTCCTTGTGTCACCAAAACAACTCTTTGAGGCAAAGACACTAGAGAAGTGGACGTGTTGTGTAGTATCTGTCACTGCGAGCCTTTGGGTGCTGTGGGTTGCAGGGTGGGGCCTCCATGGGTCAGGCTCATTCTGGTATTTGGTAGGATTGAGATGTGCAGAGTTGTTCTTCAAGCCATTCCTGAGCAGGCTTTGTGGCGTGACAGAGTGTGTTATCCTGCTCAGGGAGGCTGTTGCTGTGTTGTGTGGATGCCTGGACTCAACGTTCATCAGCAAAATATTGAATTGTAATGAGATGATCAATGTTATTTGCTTCACCTGTCAGTGGTTTTAATGTTGCTGCTGTGCAGCGTAGCAATATGTGTGCAATATTATTGTAATTCACTTTTCATAAACACACAAGTTGGTACCAGTATTCATTTTTTTTTCTTTAAACACAGAAAGAGTATCTGACCAAATGGTGACATCCAGGAGAAATAATTGACATGGGTTAATTTCTAATTCTAAGGGGTGATAAGACAACAATCACAATTCAGTGGTGTAAGTAATCTGTGTCCATTCTAATACTCACCAGTGGTATTCTGTCAATGTAAAACTGTCTGCCTCATGATTTCATTTTGCATGTATTTCATACATATTATATTTTTCATTTGTATTTAATAAGTGCTGTGAAGTTCAAGGTTTTATTTTTTAGAATGACAACTGTGGAATTAAAGTCAAAATAACAGACACTTTAAGTATTAAGATAGTCAAGATCATTACTTTATTTATTCATTATTATATTGTATTCATATACAATGGATGATAATATTCATTAAAGCATGTCTGATATAACTATATACAAATCACTTTAACAGACTATGAACAACCAGCACACACCCATTCTCCTCTCCCTCTCACTCATACACATACACACTGTTTGTTTTTCTCGTTTAAGATGCCTCAGGGAGCGAATAAGTGCCAGGCAGTACCAGTCCACTGTTGGTTGCTCTCGCCAAAGCCTGACAAACAGGGGTGCAGGCTGGCAGGATGCCCCCACCCCCACCCCCTTGCAGCACTTGGGCCACGGGCAGCTGAGAGAAAGAGCGGCCAGCAGATCAACAGTTGCTAGGACTTTGGTTGAGCCACTCGCCAGGCTGCTGCACGCCACCCAGGCCACACTCAGGGCATCTGACCCTGGGTAAACTGACAAATGCCTGGCCTTTGGGTGTGCCTGTGGAGTGATGTGACCCTCAGTGTGTGATGACCTGAAAGCAATGGGCACGCAGACAGAGATGTACCCACACACATACACCCTCGATCTCCCTCATGCTCCCAGTCACAATGTTTTTTGAGCACTAGACCAAATACATGCACTTACATTCACCCACACTTTTTGGACTATTTGAGTTATCATTGTAGAACAACTCTAAGGATGCCTGCACAAAAAGTATTGTAATTTGTGCCTAATTAACAAGATGATGTGATTGGATGCATCTTAACACAGTTGCTCTATAATGCATGACACTGAATCAGCTGCTTTAATTTACTGCTGCTTTGTTGGTTTTGGTGGAGAAAAAGTACACTTGATTAGATGATTTGATTTTTCTGTACTGCCTCCACAGTTTGTATTCATAGAGCATTTTATCTTCTAGTGCTGCCATGTATTTTGGCACAGATACTCACACACACGAACATCTGGTACACTAACTATACATCGGAGCCTCCCAGTGTACAGCACAGTCGCTGGGCATATTTAACTCATCTTGACAAGGCTGTTAATTTCTCTGAAAGCAGGGATGGATTCCAACGACCCTCTCTATCCAAGTCCCCTATTCCCTCCAAAATGCCCAGCTGTTGCCACAGTAGACAGCTGCTTTGGGGGGCAGAACGAATCTCAGCTGTCGGAGGGAGCTGTGTGCGGGGGTTGGTGGATTTTAGGGTTTGTATTCCCTCAAACCAATGACACTCCGCTCCCTCTCTCTGCATGATGTTGAGTGTAGTGTGGAAAAATGCTGACAGATAGCAGATTTAGGAACAGAAACCAGAGGCTACAGCTGTCTGTGTGTTTACAACCAAACTGCTCCGTACTTCTGAACTAAAGGTCAAGCAAAAAAGTTGATGTCCTTTAACTTTGGCTGGAGCAAACTTAGCTGTTGGAAAGGAATAGCATGTGTTTTAATGTAATACTTTAATGTTAAATTATGCTAAAATGTAATTTTGACATCAAAAGTTTACCGCAGTTGATATTTACCACATGGGGATCAGTTGAAAAATTGTGACTAAGCCACTGCCAAATCCAGTGAGAGGTGAACATACTGTCAGTTTTTATTTGTTGCACGGACCATTTTATACAGTACATGACTCACAACTTGTTTACTCCTGTGTTGTTTCCTTCTAAATTGATTGATCTGTTAAACTTGCATTTAAAAACATAACTGCCTTCTTAAGGAATTTAATGTGGTTTTATTCACGATACAAATTGTAAAGGTCAGGAGTAATACAAGCTCACTTCAGTCTTCTTTTGTGGGGATCAAACAAGGTCTCTGGGCTGTGATCATCAAGAAAATACTAACAAGCCTGGACAGTGCATAAAAGCAGCATAAGACAACAGGATCAGGATTTAATCAGAATGTGCTGCTGTTCTTTGCTGCAACTGTAGACAATAAGTCACCAAATGACCAAAGGATATTTTGCAATGCTCTGATCAAAAATAGCTTGTTGGAGGCTGTATCCAAAACAAGTACATCTACAGAGGCTCCAACTAATAGTAAAGACTTGCTGTATATATTGTTATTTTATACATATATATATATAGCTTGTAATCAGGTTTATCAAAAGTCTGCGGTATGTATCTCATATAACTCGGTCTATGACATCTTTTTTAGCTGTCTCTGTTGGAGAAAATGATCTAGTCTTGTCATATTCCTCCCTCCTGAAACTCACGTTCGCCTTTTTTTCATGGAATAAAACCATACAGTCCAAATGCAAGTAACTTTATTCTTCTGGTTCATTCTTGAGGCTTTTTTGTGTTCCCATACCGCCCTCTTGTGGCATATGGCTGAAATCACAAGTCATGCTCTACAGGTGGCTGATGCAAACCAGCTTTTATTCATCCACATTCCAAACACAATGCTGATGCTGATAGAAACAGATCCCTTTAATCTCTTTCACAAAGCAGATCCATCTGCTTGTCAGCATCTTGGCATTTTATTGCAACAGTAAATTAAATGCAGCATATCATATTACTGCATAGTCAATGCTTATTTTCTTCCAATTTGTCCTGTCGTCCAACAACAACTCACACATAAATACAAACATCACAGTCTAAGATATCTAAGACAGGCATGCCACTAACATCACTTTAGTGGGAAAACGACTATAAATATGCGCAATATTGGCAATTATACGGCAATCAGCACAACAATACATGCAAATATTCATATATTCACTTAAAAGCAGGCGAAATAACAGGACGTATGTGTGACTTATTATTAGAAAGGCAGGCTCTTAACACATATTTGTGTTCTGCAGTATGATACAGCTTATTATGAAGTGGGGTAGTTCCAGAAAACTGAAAACTGCAAGAACATAAGAACAGAGAAAACTGTTCGAAATATTCCGTTGTGTGACTCCACAACTGTAGCACAAAATAATGTAAAGTTTTGCACTCAAGGATATAATTAACTCAGAGGGCAGACATCCTTCATACAGGTGGTCATTTGTACAGATGCAGTGGCGCAGCTGCTCCTTCAGCACCACGGACAGCGGACAGAACTCTATATTGGTTATACAGGGAGGTCACGTGGTGGTGAGACGAATGCTGCTTAAGTTCCACCATTAAAACTTATCCTCCTTCAGTCGACCTCTATCATTAGCCTGTGAGTGCTGCTGCATTGGTACAATGTGAAAACAAAAACTGGGCATGTTAAAGGTGGCGCAAGCTTTGTGCAAAACCCTGACTGTTAAGGTGGAGTTTGCAGAAAATCTAAAGAGAAATATATCACAACAACGTCCATACTGCCTGCTAGACAAATGATCACTGGGAAATAAAGTGTCTAAAACTGGGGTATTTTTTGAAAGGTGAACTGAGCTTTGCGCAAAGTCCTGCTCGTTTTACGCTCAAGGTGGAGTTTTGTGCCACATCACGTTACCGTGCCGCCACAGCGCGCACTGCTGAAGCTGTTGTCCTGGAAAAGAGCAGGAAGCGGCAGGACGGAGAGCATATTATTGGCTGCATTTCGCGACAATTTCGCTCCTACTTTGAGGAGAGAGGTGTCGACTAACATGCGCTCAAAGCACTGGTGACCAGTCACCCAAATTCACTTCTTCGCAGCTTTAACTTTTCGGCCCTTCCTTGTGCAGAGATTGCCGTGGTGAGATTGTTTTTCGATTCTGCTGAGATTCACTGGAGATAGTTTGGGGGGAAATGTCTCGCAAGAAGGCAGCCAAAGGCAAAGCCGTGACCAACAGCCCGTCTGCCGGCAGTCCTACCGGGAAGGGCGCCGGGAAAGCAGCGAGGAGCAGCCCGGGCATTGTTCAGATGAACGGCGTGGTCCACCCCAGCAGACCCTCCATCAGCAGCAGCAGTGAGTTCTATGACATCGCTTTCAAGGTAAGGTGTCTGCTTTTGTTGTCGAGTAAATGCATGATAACACATTGCAACTCACTGTAGGCTATATTTTATGACTTTAAAGGAAAAGCTATCACAGAGATGGAAGGGCGGTTTGGCACAACAGCAGCTCGGAGGTCACCAAAAACTAACCACAGGGAACAATCCACCACTTGTGTTGTTGTGTTTCTTAGAGAAAATAAATGCACACCTGTTTTTTTGCGGACTTCCTTGTTCTATTTAAGGTACCTGTTTACATTCCCTCCTCTGCTTTATAACCACCTTTACTTATTAAACAGCGGTGAACCCATTACAGCTGCTGTGTCAATAAACCATCGATAACCTGGAAAGATGCGCATCGCACTGCAACCAGCTACCAAACAAATCATTTGCTCCTGTTGTGCATGTTCGTCTCAGCACTCCAGGTTTTACATTCAGAATAAGCAAATGTTTATGTGCAGCTTCCAACCTTGATATGAGCACATGTGTGAGTAGAAAGCCGCAACACAAACACAGACTTACGCCCACAGATTCTCAGTGTGTACTCTCGACATGGCTTCAAGAGACTTGTGCCACCTTCTCCATGTTTTTAAAGTAGCTGTTTCACGTGAGTGCAATTATTACTTTGTGTTGCACTTTTTTTTTTTTTTTTGCAGAATAATTAATTTTTATTAATGATTTGTTCTTCGCTCATCATTTGTACAATGTGCAAAAAAAAAAAAGTCTTGGGTTACAATTTGGGCTCAGCTCTCTATGAATGATGGTCCACACTGACCTGTCTTTCCTTCAAGGGCACCAGGGACACATCAGGGCTGAGACACTGCCACATACTCACTTAGCCTGCACTTTGTTAGAGCATATGACAAATGGCATAAACATGTTGAGGCAGAAACTTCAAGTTCTTCCTAAATTCTTTCTAGGTTTTGCTGAAAAATTGAATTTGATGCTGCAAGCCTGGATACAAATAAAATCCTTTAGCTACCGGGTTAAAGAACGGGGTTATTCAGAAATTCATGAGTTCTGCTTTCTTATACTTCAAGGAAATGCAAAATCGCATGCCATTTGTAGGGCATTGTGCCATGTTTCACCACTTACTGTTCTCTCTGATCATTATTTTACATTGAGTTGCTGCATTTAAATATGAAACCCAAAGGCAGCAAAAGATCAAATTCCTCCTCTTGCACTCCTGCAAACACAAGGCTCATGCACAGCTGTTTAAAACAGAGGACACACGAGAAGAGAATCAAAGAGAACAAAAGTAAAGAGATGCAGAATTTTTTTTTAAATTAAATATAAATGAGGAGCGCAGGGGAAACAGAGGGCAAGATCCTCAGACTCATTTCAACATTGTGTATCTGTTCATTGACCCTGTCCCTGCAGATCCCTTCATTCGTCTTTCTCTCTTTCATCTCCTCTCTGCTGCCTCTGTGCACCCAGGGGGTGCTTTTGATTTTCATAGTCTAGATCCCACAGTCCCTCAGCTAACCTGATAAGCGTAATCACATGAAACCTTTAACCTAATCACAGGTCAGAATGAATAACTGAAAATAAAATAATACACGGCCGTCTGTTCAGCAGGACAGAAACACAACAAAGTTTGCCATTCTTGAACACACTCACAGAAAGCATCTAAGGGTGTCCATTGATAGCCATAATGAGCAATCATTCATTCAGTTACCTTCTTCACCAGCCAAGCACCAAAATACCAGGACTAACTTAGCCAAATGACTCAAATGTTCTGAGGACAAACAAGCAGACATTCATATATAATATGAGTAATGGCTCCCTCTTGTTCATGCTCCTGTATGTATTTTTATTCTTCTTTTCTAGTTTATTCAGTGATGTCTGGCTTTTGCCTGTGTTGACCAATCAGAGAGTCTACAGTTTTATCTCTTGCACCCTTAGTTTTGCATTTTTGTGCATTATACTTCAGCATTCCAGTCATTCCTGGTGTTTTGCTCTCTCTGTGCAGGTGATGCTAGTTGGAGACTCCAGTGTGGGGAAAACCTGTCTGCTGGTTCGTTTCAAAGATGGAGCTTTCCTGGCGGGCAGCTTTATCTCCACTGTGGGCATTGACTTTAGGGTGAGTTTAAATCAATGGAACCTAAAAAACAAACAAGCACATACAAACCAACAAATTCCCCACGTAGATGATCTTATAAAGAGACTTTCAGGTTTAGTACTTTTGGTAAAACAGGGCCATGTACTGCACTAGTGGGATTTTTTTCACAGCTTCTCAGTGCCTTTACATGCCCCAGAGCAATGAGTATTTCCTGTGTCAGAAGCCTCACTAGACAAGATATTGATTTCTTAAATTAGTTTGACATGCTTTAGTTTTTTATTCTCCCTGGGTGATAACAATGTCTATCATGTGCCAGTTTAGTGGTCCCTTGTGAGAGGCCAGAAAGGAGTCTTTTCTAATGATCACATTCAGGTGTTTGTCCGTCTATGAGACAGAAACGGGAGATAACATTAAGACCCAAGGTTTCAAAATGAGGCAGTTGCTTTTAATTTGTTGTCTAAGAAATGTAATCTAGTTGCCAATTTTGGGCTCTTACGTCTTGTTTCTTAGTGTGATTTAACTTAAATCCCCTCTCACGCACAGAGACATTGTTGTAGTTCATGTATTAACTATGCGCCTTATCAAATATATTGTACAGTATCGCAAAATCAGGTTTTCTGCATTCAAATGTTTTCTTTCACATGCCACAGAGTTAGTTTTTGGACGTCTAATGGGTGTAGTGAATATCAAGCGCACTGATTTGTTTTCTAGATCTTAATACTTAGGCTTAATTTTAATTAGTGCCTGACATTTTCTGATTTTTTTTTGTGGAAACTCTTTATTTTTATATGTTGACTTGTCCTCTATCCACCTCCTCCACCTATAATGTAAATTAACATATTTGTAAAATGATTAAAGTTTCAAAGTTAATAACAAAAGATGAAAATAAAAGTGTATTCGATACTTTATACTCTTGGGAGGCGTATTAACATAGTCTGCCACTCTGTGTGTGTTTGTGTGTGTTAAACTAAAGTATCCAACCATTTTATAGCCCTGTGTGTGGGTTGGATGAGTTTGTGGGTGGAAGAGCAGTTGATTTATTTACTTATGTAACGCCTCTTATAACACTGTCTGTGGTGCTGATGCACATTTAGGCCTATCTGAGCAGAGAAGAGGCCTTCATCAGCTATCTCTGCCCGCTACATTTTCTACTAATAGGGAGAAAAGTACAAAACTCATGAAGTTTAGAGCTTACTCTGCTCTTTTGTCATATTGACTTATGACTTAATTGCACCATACCACAGAGTTCTATGACATGAATAATTTCCTTATCATCCTCAAGGCTCAGTTTCTCTTCTGCATGGTTTCTTGGGAAATGGTTCCAGTATCAGTGAAACAGACCTCCATCAACTCATCAGGATCTTCCGGAGTCACACTGTTGGTCTGTAGAGTAAATAGCATTTTTAGTGTCTTAGTGGAATATCCCGATTCCATAGATTCAATGGTTGGCTATTCGGCTATTCAGCCCTAGTATGAAAATCCACATTTTAAATACTTCCGGTCATATTTGCGCTTTGCCATCTTGCGTCCCAACATCAACACAAACTTAAAATGAACGTCAAACTATGGTTACCGTGCCTGTCAAAATAAAAGCTTTTTCAAAATAAAAAAATAAGTCCAACCTGAGACGCACATCATATATTATTTAATTTTCACCAGCTGTCCGCGACCCACCCAGAACAGGTCTGCGACCCACTTTTGGGTCACGACCCACCAGTTGAGAACCCCTGCTTTAATACATACGCTGACCAATCAAACACAACAATAAAACCATCATGAAGCCTAATCTTGTGTAGCTGTCCTGTGGTATCAGGCACCAAGACGTTAACAGCAGATCCATTGTGATCTCTAACTTGTGCGGTTTGACCTCCATGGATTGGACTTGTTTTTCCAGGACATCCCCTCAGATGCACATTCAGATTGAGATCTGAGGAATTTGGAAGCAGAGTCAACATCTTCCTCATGTTCCTCAAACAATCCCTAAACAATTTGGAGTGTGGCAGGGAGCATTATGCTGCTGAAAGAGGCCACTACCATCACAGAATACTATTTCTTTTTATGTGGTGGCACATGTAATACACACATCCATATCTACATTACCCAGAAGAACATTGCCTAGAGCATCACATTGTGTCGGCTTGCTTGTCTTCTTTCTGCAGTTCATCCTGCTCCCATTTCTCCCCGAGGTAAACGACACACATGCACCTGGAAATCCACATGATGTAAAAGAAAAAGTGATCCATCAGACAAGACCATGGCATTCTGCTGCTCATATACCAGTTATAGGTGCTTTTAGCAGTGGACAAGGTCAGCATGGGCATGCTGACCAATCTGTTGGTATGCAAGGCAGTATGCAGCAAGCTGTGATGTTCTGTGTGTTCTGACACCTTTCTATCACAACAAGCATTTTCCTGTAAATTGTGTTACAGTAGCCTGGGACGAGGTCACACAGGCCAGCCTTTGCCCCCCACGTGCATCAATGAGTCTTGGGTGCCACCTTCCATGTGCCACTTTTACTACATAAATACTAACCAGTGCAGACTGCCAACACACCACAAGACCTGTTGTTTTGGTGATGTTCTTACCCAGTTGTTTAGCCATCACATATTGCCCCTTGTCAAAGTTGCTACCCATTTATGCTGCCCATTTCCCCTGTTTCCAACACATCAACTTTAAGAACTGACTCTTGTTTTGGGGCTTAACATATCCCAACCCTTGACAGATAGCACTGTAACACGATACCCAATGTTATTCACCTAACCGGCCAGTGGTTTTAATGTTGTGAGTGATTGGGTTACAGTTCCCCTTTATTCAATTGATAAATCGAATACATTGCCAGTTTGTTTGCAAAATAAACCAGGGCTTTGTTGAGTAAAGAAACATGAAGGTCCTTGGTGTTTGTCTTCCAATGAAGAATACACAGAGAGAAAGACAGAGACAGGGAGTGATCGTTATTTTTAGGAAAGACCTTCCTTAAAGTTGGTGGTAAATGCAATTTGCCTTCTATGGGGATTTGATCCAGTTCCCACTTCAAAGCTGCACTAAGATGCTTTGTTTTCTTCCCCCTCTTGTTTGTTGCATTCATCTCATTTAAACCTCAACATGTTCTCAGGATTACAAAGCTGCACTCGTGCCTCATTTAGCAAAAAAATGCAGAGTCTTAATATAATAAATATAAGTCTACACTTGCATTTGATTACAAACTCTCCCTATAATTCATGTAGATGAATTATAACGCGTACACAATATCAGAAAAAAATGCCTTGATAAATGTCATTCTGGCAGATTTAACTACATTTTAACCATAATAGAACAGTGTTAACTCTGTAGTCCTGCAACACATTTATGGTAATTACTAACAGGCCAAATCTAGTTAATTGGAAGCAAATTCCTCACAAGTGGCGTAATGAATCAAAAACAGAGGCACTGCTTATACTAAAAATATCATCACTGGTTTCCAGAGAATGTGTAACCTTATTATTAGAAGTCTCGATATCAAGACTTGATAGAATCTGCAGATAAAATGTAAACTAGTTCAGTTCAGTTTTCAGAGTGATATATGTGATGAAATAATGATGAAAAATTGCATAAAGGTAATAAAAGTCAAAACGTTCAGGTTTTAGCTCAAGATAAATTTCACCCAAGAGAGCCAAAGACAGTACAGTGTACAGTGCACATGCAAAGTGAGATCCAGGTCATCAGTTGCCATGGTAATGCAGGTGGTAATCGATGGGCAGGTGACTGGGATAGACCGAGGGCAGAGCTTGTCTTTATGCTTCATTGTACGACTCATAAAGTTCTTAGCTGGTGAGACTGAGTGCTTTTTTTCTGGCTTCAATCAGGAGATCACAGGCTGTATGTGAAAGGCATCAGGTGGGTGTAAATGGCTCCTGCTGCTCAGGCAAAGTTTTTCTCTTTTTTTTTTCTTGCTCTTTGAGTGAAAATGGCCTCTGTTGTGTTCTTTATGCTGTAGCTCACTGTTTAATGCTTAGGTACAATGTGCTATGTTTTAACATGCACTGACACACAAGCATAGAAATCAAACTCACATTTGAATGTCCTGAGGACATTTTGTTCAGCACCTTCTCAGATTTTCTCAATTTCTGTAACACATCTAGTCCAATTGTGCAACTTGAACTCGTTTAGCTGCAAGAGTCCTATGTTAGCTTTTCAGTATGTGGAGCACAGTTTGAGTTTCTTTTACAAAACAAACTAAAAGTGTCTCTGTATGACTCTCTAAAGTAAAACCAGTCACAATCTATTTGATCTATTGATCTATTAGAAAATACTGTTGTCTTTTTTTTTAAGCCTCTAGCTCTTCAGGGCATAGATCAACAGATGCACCTCTGGTAAGGAATAACGAGTATGAATTGGATGGAATATTTTTTGCAGTTAGTGACTGAATTTGATTTGATACCTAATTAAACATTAGTCTCATTAACTGTGGGAATTAATGTCATTCAGCGAGGCATTCATGTGGATTAATCACCTCTCTTGGAGAAGCTCATCAAATACACAAAGAAACAATGTCAGTACTAAAATCTCTCCATGCTTACACAGAGCTAAAAAACACAAAGGAAGTTCATTCTAGAACCTTTTTTTACTTGTGGTGTCAAACTAGTCCACACTGAAAAGTTGTGCTGCAGAAAGAAGTCTGCACCATTAGTTAGTGAGTCTATGATACATATTAAGTGGCATATTTTTTGTGGCTAACTCCTGGATGGAAACATACTCCTGTTATATTTTTTTTCACACTGTAGGGTCATTTTTTAACTGCAGTAAAAAGTCCTGCACCTCTGTGAGATCAGCACGACCATGGCTAGAAGAAGCACAAACTCAATGATATCTTGTCTGCAGTATATAATTCCATAAATCAATAAAAATTGTATTTCTTTTAAACATTTTTCAAAGTGTGTTGTGCAAACTGGCAACAAAAATTGTGGCTCTACATACTACAGATAGTTCAGCTGAGAAGTTCTTGAGTTTTTGTCATGTGACTGTTGGTCATCTCGTTGTGCCAT